GGTCGGGCTAGATGATCTACTAGGTCCCTTCCGAACCTTAATCTATGAAACTATGAAACAGCTTTTTAAAGTATTCTACTGTGTTTCTCCTTGCTGGAAACATTAAAAATAAATGAATAAATATAGATCTAAAAGATTTTCCCTATTATAAAAACAGTTGAAGACAGGGCACAATGAGAAGAAAAATATACAAGTAAAATACGGTGCACAAAAGTGTGCTTGGGCACCTATCCATGTGCCCGGCACCTGCTCTGACGCATTCTAACTGGAACATGGTGGGGCAGATTCGATTAATCAAATTTGCTCAGTCAAGCAGACCAAGCAGACTTGATTCATTGAGTCTGCTGCACCGTTCTAATGAGACTGCTCTAGCAGCCTTGGCGTCACGTGTATCAGCGTCCCTGCAATTCAAAGTGGCAGTGGGGGAACTTTTATTAAAGTTCATTGAATGAGCTTTAGCTAAAGCACCCCTGCCACCGTTCTGAAGCGCAGGATGCTAAATACATGAGACACTACAGGCATTTTAATCGGAGTGGCTCTTAGGAGCCACTCTAATTAAAATGACCCCCCCACACCCACCCCGGAGCACATGTAAAGACAACTCCTATGAACTGTTGTTGGATATAAAAGGGAAGAAAGAAGGGATTTCCAGCCATGCTACTAACTTGCTGGACAAAAAATTGGCGGGATGAAAGGTAATGAAGGAAGATCTAAGCACCACAATAATGTGATGCTCTATTATACGGAAATGTGTCAAAAACGTTTGACGGGGAAAACATCAGACTTGCTGCCACCGCTCTCTTTGACTTCAGTTTCCGATGCGAGCGCTCAGAATTTTGGTCTTGGACTTCACAGTTTCAAGTCAGGATCCCAGAAAAGGCACTACAATCAATTAGGACACAGAGCAAGGTAGTGCTGCACTGAGATGTCTCACTGCCCTGCACACCCTAGCTCTAGCAGCAACTCTCAAGCATGCTCAAGAGCAGCCTTTGAAGGACTCATATGTCTTCACCAGAGTATTTCCAGGGTTGGAACATTCCTGTAGGCAAAAGGGAACAAGGTGTGATCAGCTTCATCCTGGGCAGGAGACATTACCACCGTGATGTGACCAAACTTGCTCTGATTTTGCATCTCCTGACACCATATAGATACATAATAAACATAGTCAGAGGACCAGGTCACACAAAATCTTTAGCGTGTGTTAAATTCAATTAAAATTCGATCATTTGAGTGTTCAAGTAGTGTTAAGTACATGCTAAGCGAGCTCTTATAGTATTGCATTGTAGCAAGGCTATGCCTCTTCCAGCAAGGAGTATCTCCAGATACTATCCAGTAACACATGTTGAGCTAACATCTTACTGCTCCATGCAGATGATACAATCAATTGCAGTTGCAGAATTGGGACTGTGGCTCCCAGTCCCAGGACTGCATGGGAGTATGGAACTGGCTCAGGTAGGTCCTGGGGCTGAGAATGAAAATTAGCTGATTGGACAGTTCAAGACTCCAGTCGATGCAGAGCTGGGACCCACAATCAGATGACTATCAGTCCCAGCCCCTGCACTGGTGCCCATTCAGGACTAGACCGTGGTGTATGGAATGGGACTGATGACCAGCTGATTTTTGGTTTCAGCGCCAGGACTGCACCAGAGTCTCCAACTGGCTCCAATCCTGGGGCACTGGCAGGATCCAGTAGCAGGGGCAGCACCTTTTCCTGGACTTGGCTCCCTGTGCCACCTCCTGCCTGCTGCCAGAGGCAGAGATCCACTTGGGAGGCTGTAATAAAGAATAATCAGGTGACTGCTCAGGCAGACACGTTCTATCTTTTGGTAATGCTCACTACAATCTCAATAAAATATGTGCCGGTCAACAGAAGAGCCAGAATTAAAACCCAGCTCTTCCAAGGCCCAGTCGTGTACAACTAAACACAATGAACCATGCTTTCTCTTTCTAGAACCCCTACTTCATTTACCACCCATCCTCTCTGCACGGTAGGAAGAAAGGGGCCTGTAGAAAGGAAAGGATGTGGTCATATAAAGAACATTTTATAATGCATATTCATAAGGGGGCAAAATTAAGGATGTATAAGCATATTAATTGTGCAGTTTCCTAACTAGAACACCTCCAGTGGCTCTAACAACATTTAAATAAAAAGAGTGATCTTCTACACAAGGGTGATCAAAATCTTCCATTCTGGATGAGAGGCATGGGGCTGTTTGCAGGCCAGATCAGGCCCACAGACTAGCCCCGCATGCTGGGACCAACTCACAGAGCCAATCTGGCAGCACTGACTTGGGGGCCACACTGCATGTGACGTGTGGGGCCAGTCCTGGGCGAGTACTATCTGCAATGCATGGGGCGGGTCTAGGACACATGCTGCATGTGGCACCCATACTGGAGTAGCCCTAGATCCACCATGCAGGGCTGCTCCAATGCAGATGCTATATGCAGCGTGTGCCCTGGACTCATCTTGCGTGCAGAAGGTGCTCCAGACTGGCCCTATGTGCTGCATGCTGTATGCTGGGTCCAGTCCCACACATCACATGCAGCACAAATCAGACAGGCTGCACACACCACATGGAGCTGCAACATCAGTCCAATGACCACTAGCAGCACTGTGGCAGGACAAGACAGCTCTGCGGGTCAGATTTTTGGCACCCCTGTTTCACACCAACATCAGCTTAGGTTTGAATTAAAAAATAATGAGAAATTACTTACCTTCCAGAGCACTGGTAATGATGCTGACTGCACTTGCTGCCCTTTCTCTCTGGAGTGACTCATTGAAGTACTCCACTGATAAATGACGGGGTAAATGCATCTTGCTGGTCTCATCATATAAAGGGGTCTGCTTAAACAAGTAAGCATGTTAATACCATACTACAGAACAAAGTGAAGTAAGAGGCTTTTGATACGGTCTCCCACAAAATTCTCACAAAGCAAGCTAAGGAAGTCCAGATTGGTTGAATAGACTGTAAGACAGATAGAAAACTGGCTGGATTGTCCAGCTCAGAGGGTAGCAATCGATGGCTCGATGTCTAGCTGGCAGCCAGAATCAAGTGGAGTGCCCCACGGGTTGGTTCTGGGACCGGTTTTGTTTAGTATTTTCATCAACGACCTGGAAGATGGGATGGAGTGCACCCTTAGCAAGTTTGCGGATGACACCAAACTGGGTGGAGTAGTAGATATGCTGGAGGGTATGGTTAGGATTCAGAGAGACCTCAACAAATTGGAGGATTGGACCACATGAAATCTAATGAGCTGGGATCTGGGTTTTCCATTTGCTGTAGAAAAATGCATATATTCTCCTTTAACAGACAAAAACACAGGAAATGGTGGGTTTCCCCTTGTAGGCTGGCAGAATTCCAGCCTGCAAAGGGCTGCTTGGGGGTGGGAGGAGCAGGACACAGGGGGAAGGAGATGCCACACACGTGTGTGCATGCACATACATGTGGAAGCCAGGCAGCAGTGGAGAATGGTTCCCACAGCACCCTCCAGGTAAGTTTATGGGGGCAGGGAGGAGGGGCACAGGTGACCTGTTGGAGGTTGCGAGGGAGGGGGGCACAGACAACATGTCAGAGAGGTGGGGGAGCACAGGCAATGCATCAGTGGGGCAAGGGAGTACAGGTGATGCAACAGGGGGGCACAGACAAGGGTCAGGGGGCTAAGGTGACACAGTGGCGTCCTGCCTATTTAAACTTCTTTTGATTCGGGTATTCTGCATTTCCACATCTGTTGTGCACTGTAGTGTCTGCAGACTGTACTTAGGGAGGAAAATGTGGGAAAGGGCAAGGAGATAGCTGGGGTGTAAACCTGTTATTGGAGCAGGCAGGCCATACAGAAAGAAGCATCCTTCCTCCTTACAGTCACTCAGTCACTGGAAGTTTTAGAGCAAATTGTGCTATAATATAGAAAACTTGATCTCACCCAGAGGGAGTGGGGCAACAGGCTGCCCCAAACAGGGGACAGCTTGTAATATTCAGCTTTTACAGATTCTAACGGCAAACTGATTTATTGCAATTATTATTACTGAGTTCATCCTTTGCAAGCAAAGATGACCACATCCAGCATGGGGCAGAAAGACGACAGACAGGAAGCAGGAATGAAAAAAGGAAGGAGACAGAAAGGAAAAAGGAGAAAGAGGAGAGAGGAAAGAGAGAGGAGGGGGGTGGAGACTAGGTTGCATGGAGACTTATAAGCCTGATCTGTCCGCTGAACAAACTGCTGCAGTGGGGGCAGAAGAGCAGTGAGGACTGGGCACGAAAGGTACTCGTTTTCCTGGCCACGTGCTTCATCACTGCCTCTGCTGTGCCCAGCTGCTCGAAAACCGGCGTTCCACTGTGGACCGATGACCTCCAGGATGGATGGTCACGAGCAATCTGCTCCCATGACTCCAGGTCAATGCTGAAACTCTTTAGGGATAGCTGTAGGGTGTCCTTGTACCGCTGCTTTGGTGCACCACAAAACACAGTTCTCCGTAGAAGATTTTATTCGGCAGGTGAGTGTCAAGCATTCATGAGAGGTGACTGGCCCATCTTAGCTGCACCAGTTTCAGTAAAGTGTGGATACTGAGGACAGCTGATCTTCCGAGCACCTCAGATCTAGA